TTCTCAAAGCTAGAATTAAAAATAAAAAATCAAAGCTTTAAGAAAACTTCAATCTGGAAATTTCACCAACCTGGTTGTACTTTTGTCTCTCTGGTGTATCTCCTTCCTTTGGACCGACAATAACAGAAACAGCATTGATCACTTTCCTAACTCCTTTGAACTTTTCAGGAACCAATGTATTCTCCTTGGTAATGTCTGCAACAATCTGAAAACATCAAAGATTTTAGACCCACTGCTAAACACATGAATCTTAGAGATGAGCTAATAGTTGTCCATGATCTTAGAAGTTAGAACTATAAAGACACCAAGTAAAATGTGGAAACTTTCAGTGAACTTTCTCACCAAATCAATGTCAGGTCCTAACATCTTCCGAGCCTTCTCCTCATTTCTAACCTGTGAAAATTTCACGCAAAAGTTAAAAAGACTTTGGTCACACTGTCGGAATTAAAAACACAAGCATAGAGAAATCTATAGAAAGTTTGGTACCAATGCTTTAACAGGAAACCCTCTTTTCCTCAAGCCATCAACAACCCTTCTTCCTACACCACCTGTAGCTCCAGCCACAAGTATGGTTCCAGAAGTTTCCATTTCCTTAACCGGTTCCTCCGTTGATCCGTTAGTAAGTTTCTCAAACACTGATGAAACAAACTTCACAAGCAAAAACAACAATCAGTTACCCCCAAATGACTTTAACTTTTATAAAAAAAAAACTCAATGAGAATGAAACGCTTGTATACCTTTAGAGGAGACGGTGGGCCGTTGAAGAAGTACAGTGTTTTGATGAATCTACCAAAGTCCCAACCTTGTGAGCCAGATTTAGCAGTGACCCCTTTTCTATATGATCTTAGATTGGCAGAATGTGAATGTGAAGCTTGTTGGTAAAGAAGACGTCGGCTTCTATCATCAAGTTGAAGAAACGGTTTAGGGAATGAAGTGTAGTTAGAGAATTTTACATCATTGCTTGATGAAAAGCCCTGCAAACAAAAAAATTGGTTTTCCCAAGTAAAATACAATAGTAGTGGCAAAGTCTTCGATACGTTACAACTCTAGCCCATAATTGCTTCCCCCAATTTCAGAATAACCAAAAAAAAACTATAAAGATCAACGAACAGAGAAATTACAGGAAAACTCAGAAATTGTTAAGTAACCTGAAGGTTAATGATGGAAGGAGATAACGGCGATGAGAGCTTGAAAGAAGAAGAAGAAAGCTGCATTTCTGAACTCCAACTCTCGGAAGATTTGGCCCGAGAGATGTTTGTGCTGTGAACCGAATGGAGATTGTAGACCACACACGTGGAGACGCAACCGACGCCCAACGGTTTGGTTTTCCGGTCCAGCCAGAAGCGAATCCCAAACGACATCGTTTACACTGGTGGAAAAAAAAAATTTAGAAATTGCGTCTGCCGGGAGTCGAACCCGGGTCTATTGCTTGGAAGGCAATTATCCTAACCGTTGGACTACAGACGCACTTGTTGTTTGAGGGAGAGTAAGTAAAAATCTATTTTATATGCTTATTTATCTCTACTTAGTACTAAAATTTGTTTACCAACAAATAATAATTCTTGAGATTTCAGGCCAAAATTTTGTTTCAACATGTCGAGAGTGTTAATTTGCAATCTTCTATTTATGTTGTGATTGGCTGGGAGCATAAAAATGAAACTCTGAAAATTTTATTCTATGGTGTGATTAAATTGACAAACTATTTTCTCTAGTGATACTTTCGACACTCATTTGACCAGAAGATTAAGCTTTCTAATGGCAATAAACAAGATATTATTGTTCTTCTGTTTTGTCTCTGTATTAGCATCAAAAGTTTCAATGAAAACTCTTTAATTGCAAATCACTTTATGTGATCTCCATGTTTACATTGTTAGTAAAGAACATTCGCAGCTTCCCTAATTGCTGATAGGAGATGCAATAACCTTTATGATGCGATTTCTAAGTTTATACAACTGGGAATTTTTCAAATTGATTTCGAGCATCCTCCTCCATACTTAACCAAGTCTTATAACTACTGTGATTAATTTCTTTTCAAAAAACATTTGTTTGAAACAATCGAGATGAAAGTAAATATTACAAGCCAATTATATAGCATTGGTTGGTTTACTTGGCTGTATCATTTGACTTTTCTTTAGCCTTGCATATTTGTTTGGGATATTAAATTAAGACTATACAGAGAAGAACATGTGGGGGACAATTTGTTCTGTGTTGTTGGGTTTGCTTTAAACTCAAAACGCCGATACTGGCACGTGGAGGTGGAGCCGAGCACTGGCTCGCCGCAAAGTAGCGATGGCGGTCACGTGATCAAAGAATGCTAGGTCTAGTTAACGAAAGAGGATTTATAATTAAAAAAAACAAGGTAAGAGATTTTAGAAAATCTTCGACCAGATGAATTCAATGTTTGTAGCATTTTGGTTTTTAGTTTAGGATATGTATATAGTATTTTTAGATTTAGATGTTGGAACTCCAATTTGAAATTTGTATTTAATTAAATAGTTATGGTTTCATTTCATCAGAGAATTCTTAAGATTTTCTTGACTGATTTAGTGGCTGGCTTGTTATAAAAATGTGTCTTCTGTAAGAAAAGAGCTAAGAAAACATATATTCTTTGGTCGACATATCTAAACTATGTATATATATATATTCGCTTTTTGCTTGTGTCTCAATTTGAATATGCAAAATGTTGATATGTACGAGATAAAGATTCTTTTCTCCACTCTTACAAGTTCCAAGTGTTAAAGCATCAGTTTGGGGCTCGAAAATCAAAACACTTTCCAGAATTAAACGTTAAGGTAACGTGTCAGAGATGTCTATTTGAAGTCACTTTTTTAGTTCATTGGATTGTGGAACTACAATCCCTTCATTTTAAATATATTTTAATTTACCCTCTCGATAGATCTTAAGCGAAACCTATAACATGTTTAATCTGATAATGTATTCCAAATTTGCATGTCTCCATATTATCATTTTCTTTTGGATATAGATGAAGTAGATAACAACATTTCAATACAATCTTCGTTCACGAGCCTTGCCGATTCTCAACTTTATACGAAGTAGTTGAGAAATTTAAAGTATCCACACCACAGCCTCATCACATTTGTCTCTGTATAATAAAGGATATTATTATTTGCAGTATGCAACCACAAATAATGTTAACATAAACATCGTTATAAACATATATACATACGAGGCAAATAGTGATGTGACTTATATCTCCCAACTTTCTTGTATATAACTGGGATATAACATAAGTTTTGTTTTCCGGGACCATCCTAATGTTTCGCTTAAAAAATGATGTTGGTCCCAAATTAAAAGATGTAAAGTAGTAAGCTGATCTTCTTCAACTATGCAGTTCACACACACATGACCATATGATTTCGATAGGCTATAGGACTGATACTACATGTACGATAAATGTCTTAATAGCAAGTTAAAATGATATTTATATGATTAATTTGTAGTGAAAACCACTTGTATGTTTTAAAAAAAAATGATTTATATGATCGATTCTAAATAAATCCTGAATCTCAACACCTTTGAATCAAGTTCTTAAACGGGAACACAATTGTGTTGAGATGCAAGATTTATATAAAAAAAAAAAATTTACGAGATTTTGATTGTTGTTGGAAAAAATAGAGGATGTAGACTATTCACAACAAATCCTAGCCGTTCATAACTTATATAGTCATGTATATATATGGTTCTCTTTATAATAAAACAAAAAATGTTTCATATCTCATGTCTCATGAGTCTTGTAAAAGACACGTGAAATCTCCTTCGTTCGACCAACTAATTTACTAATTTCCAAAATATATAAATCGGTGGTCCATTACGTACTCCATACCATCTTCATTTATTATTTTTATCCGAATCCTATGCCTTCTCTTTCAGTTGTATACTTTTGTATTAATTGCATACATGAACATTCGAGATTTTCTTTTCTATATAGAGATTTGTGAGTACTACATATGACATGTGGATTGTTTTGATTAGTAGTTCACTATGAGTGCTACAGAATATTTTCTACAAACATAGATTTAATTATTTTAGGGTATATACATCCTCCATCAATATATATTTATAGTCTCCCATTTGTTTTTATGAAAAATAACAAAAAACAGCTCACTTGCACACACAAAACAATGACAAAAACAATTCTATAGTGTGATCATCTCATCTAAGCCAACATTAAAACACTAACTAATATTTTTGATGATCAACTTCGTCTCAGTGTCCGCACGTGATATATCGGACGTTGACCATCGTAACGTAACAGCTATCGTCCGGAGCTTTTTCTGTCGCGTATCCAGTTTCTTGTTTTTTGTGTCTTAAGTAATTGCAGTTTCGGATCTATTTAGTAGTACTTACTAATTCTATTTTCATAATGGAACTGTGGAATCTTAACATTTAGAGTAATATTTCGCCACACTTAGAAAACAAACTTACACATTAGTCCTCTCAATCATTAATGAATTTTGACAGAAATCGACCAAAAAACATTTTAATGGTTGTAAGTACGAACCTTAAATTGAACAAAAGAGGATTAGTATCTTTGTATCATTATGGTTAAACTTAAAAGCAAAAATATGATCATTATACATTTGCTTTGGATTATTATCAACCTGATGAGACAAAGATTTGACTAGCTTGAGTGGACATCTCGTCTCCTTTTAAGTCTTTAACCAATTTTTATGAAACAATAAATATAAATAATTTATATATACACTAAGTATAAATATGTCATGAACACAATTTTCATTCAATGTCATGAACTCAATTTAAAATTACACTTTAACAGTTTGTGAGGATCTTCTTCCCCAAGGATTCAAACGGTTGGATCATCCACCAATGACCCAATCATATTACGAAGAATAAAAACAAAAAACAAGGATGACAAAATAAATGCCAACGACTAGTTTTTATAAATCCGTACGAAAACAAACAAAAAAACCAAGCCGCATATAATTCGAAGGTCGAAACCTTTTAGTCTAAAGAATCAATAATTCGGAGTAGCAAATATTCTGAGACTATATACAAAAACTCAATTTTTTTAATAGCAAAGAGCATAATTGATTAAAATGTCCTTTGCATGCTTCTCCTAGAAACGGACATTTCTTTATTGGCTTTGTCCCTAACATATGCCTCTGTGTTCGTGTCTGCAACAGATCTGTCTCCATTTCTTTCTTTCACTGTCTCTCTCAAGATTCTTCTCATTTTTCTCTTTCTCTAAAACCTCTAGAAACAAAACTAAACCCTCTACACAACACGGAGGTTTCTCCTCTCTCTCTTTTTTCTCTCTGCCAAAAGCTATCGTTATCTCCAGAACCCATCAGTTTCCTCTGATCTTGCATGTGAAAGTTTGGTGAAGAAAGAGGAGAGATCTGTGACTGCTTTTAAAACGGTGCCGTTTCCTTCGTTTCTGTTGTTCTCTGGCTGATGAGGTCACTGACAACGATTGCCCCCACTTGCCTCTTTTTTTTCTCACTCCCATCAATTTTTCTCACTCTCTTCTCTCTCACCTTCTTTAATGAGAAACAAGTTCTCATAAATTTTGATGCTTTAGCTTCTGTAATTTCTCCCTTGATTTGTATCAGAGCTCCAAAGTTTCCATTTTTCCCCATTGGGGTTTTCAATTCATCCATTCAACATTTTTCTTCACTAAACTGGGACTTTCTCGAAAGCGTGAGTGTTTTTTTTGAGATTTGAGACTTTAAAGCTGTAACCTTTTGGGTATTCAGTGGAATCAGCGCTAATTACTTCGAATTTAGAAAGTTTGAGAGGTTTTGGCTCACAAGATGAGATACAATTCGATTTGGTTTTTGTGCAAGATTCCGAGGAGGAAGGAAACAAAACTCTTCTTCTTCTGAGTTAAATGACGACGACGACGACAACGACGAGAGTTGCTTCCTCTTCTTCTACTCGGAATCGAATTCTGAAAGATGCAAATGGAGACATCGGTGAGCATCTTCGTAACCACATCCACTTAACCAACTGTATCCACTTGAAGAACCATATGCACAAACAGAGCCCGGTTTTAACCGACCGTGCCCTAATGAGAGACCTCATGGTTCTCCAAAGGTCACGCTCGCTTAGAGATCCCTCTGCGAGCCCTCCTGCTTGGAACACGCCTCCTTCGATTGTCGATTTGCTTCCGAAGAAAGGGGATCACGTGGAAGGAAGACGGTCTGTCGACCAAAAGAAGTCCAAGTCTAGTCGTAGGTTGTCTGGTTTGAGTGGCTCTTCACCTGTTGTGAACTTTGGGACATCTAAAGTGACTCCTTCCGATGAAGGGTTGGGTAAAAGCTGCGAAATTGGAGCTAGAGAAAGTGGTAGGAGAGTGAAGAGAGAGGAATCTAGTAGAAAGAGTTATAGAGTCGAGGATGATTATCAAAATGTGAAAGAGGTCTCTCATGGTGTTGCTTCGGTGAATTCGGGATCGAAAGCTAGTGGGAGGCTTAGTAGGATCAATGATGCTATTGCTAAGACACTGTCTGATCAGATAAACGAGGTTGCTGTTGGTGATAGTGATGATGTGGTTTCATCTAATGTTCGTCCACGGGTTAGGTATGGAGGTGGTGGTGGTAACAGGGGATGCGGAGGTGGAATGAGTCGGCCGAAAAGGCGGAAGTTTAGAGGGACGAGGAGAGTTCGAGGTAAGAGTAGAGATACTGGTGGTGGTAAGAGTGAGATGTCTGTTGCTTCTAACACACTACCTCAAGGTGAGAAGCATGAGGGAGTCAAAGTGAAAGAGGGTTTTGGTGAACAGAACATGACTAAGGCTTGTGGGATTCCGTTTAACTGGTCGAGAATCCATCACCGAGGGAAGACTTTCCTTGATAAGGCCGGTAGGAGTTTGTCCTGTGGTATGTCTGATTCCAAAGGAAGGAAAGGTGAAGCCAATGAGAGGAATGGTTCTGATATGATGATGATACAATCTGATGATGACGACTCGAGCTCTTTCATCCGCTCTGATGGCGGCGAGGCACTTCCTTTGTTAGTTGATAGTGCAGAGAACGAAGGTTGGGTGCATGACTACTCAGGGGAGCTAGGGATTTTCGCAGACAATTTGCTCAAGAACGAAGAAGATTCTGATCTTGCTTCAGAAGGAAGGTCAGGGGAGAAAAAACACAAGAAGAAGAGCCATAGAAACGCTAGGCATCGTCATCAGCATCAGAGTCTCACGGAGAAGTACACGCCTAAAACATTCAGGGATCTCGTTGGGCAGAATCTGGTTGTACAAGCTCTTTCCAACGCAGTTGCAAGACGAAAGCTTGGACTTTTGTACGTGTTCCACGGTCCAAATGGAACCGGGAAGACCTCTTGCGCTAGGATATTCGCAAGGGCTTTGAACTGTCACTCCGTGGAACAACCGAAGCCTTGTGGCACTTGCAGCTCATGTGTTTCACATGAAATGGGCAAAAGCTGGAACATTAAGGAAGTGGGTCCTGTTGGGAACTTCGACTTTGAGAACATCATGGACTTGCTTGATGGTAATGTGATGGTTTCATCGCAGTCTCCTCCTCGTGTTTTCATATTCGATGATTGCGATACCTTGTCGTCTGATTGTTGGAATGCTCTGTCCAAAGTGGTGGACCGAGCAGCGCCTCGCCGTGTAGTCTTTATCCTCGTGTGTTCGAGTCTCGATGTTTTGCCTCATGTGATCATCTCGAGGTGCCAGAAGTTCTTTTTCCCGAAGCTGAAAGACGCGGACATCGTCTACTCCTTGCAATGGATTGCTTCGAAGGAAGAGATTGAGATAGAGAAAGATGCTTTGAAGCTTATTGCTTCGAGATCAGACGGTTCGTTAAGAGATGCTGAGATGACTCTTGAACAGCTGAGTTTGTTAGGACAGAGGATCTCTGTTCCTTTAGTTCAGGAACTGGTAAGCATCTAACAAAGTAGATCGAAAAATATCAAAACTTTATAACTTATTTATTTTTTCCATTGACGTTCTCTTCTTTTCTTGCTTTTTTTTTTGCAGGTTGGGCTTGTTTCTGATGAGAAGTTAGTGGATCTTCTTGATTTAGCTTTATCTGCAGATACTGTAAATACTGTCAAGAGTCTGAGAACAATAATGGAAACAAGTGTAGAACCATTGGCTTTAATGTCTCAGCTTGCAACTGTCATAACCGATATTCTCGCGGGTAGTTATGATTTCTCTAAAGATCGTCACAGAAGAAAGTTTTTCCGACGGCAACCATGTGAGCTTCAGACATTTTTACAGTCTATGTGCCTTTGTTTTATTGCTTTTACTGATCCAGCTTTGTGTTTTTGTTCTCACCATTTTTTAGTATCTAAAGAAGATATGGAGAAACTGAGACAGGCCCTTAAGACGTTATCGGAGGCAGAGAAACAGCTGAGAGTATCAAACGACAAACTGACTTGGCTCACAGCTGCGTTGCTTCAGTTGGCTCCTGATCAGAACTATTTGCTTCAACGTTCTTCCACTGCAGATACTAGCTTCAACAGAAGTCCACTGCCATTGGAGAACAATGGAGGTAGAGAAAGCTCTGATCACCATCTGGATCCTTCTAGCGACGCAGCAGGGGAAAGAAGTTCTGGATTGGACAGAAGAAGAGGAGACGGTAGAATAAACCGACCCGCGGTAAAAGAAATTTGGTTAGAAGTTATTGAGAAGCTTCGAGTCAACGGCTTGAGAGAGTTTCTTTATAAAGAAGGAAGAATCGTCTCTCTTAGTCTCGGTTCAGGTAATGCATTTCATATCAAAAAGCTAAAATCTTTATTGGTGTATGGATTGAATCTTGATGAGATATGTTTACAAGTTTTTTGATTCAAAAGTTTTCCTTTTCTGATGTTGTCGCAGCTCCTACTGTGCATCTAATGTTCAGTTCACCGTTAACCAAATCTACGGCTGAGAAGTTCCGCAGCCATATTATGCAAGCATTCGAGGCGGTTCTTGAGTCTCCGGTGACTATAGAGATCAGATGCGAGACAAAGAGGGACCCAAGAAACAACGGGAACCATCATCATCATCATCATCACCCGCCTGCAAAAGACAAAAGCTTTCCATCATCTTTAGCACTCATTGGCCAAGATGGCAACATCAATGGAAGCGGGAGAAGTGAGATAGTTGAAGTCACCGAATCTAATGGACAAAGACATAATAAGCAAGAGGAGGAGAGGACAGAGCGAGTTGGTTCATCCGCGTTGGCCCGAGCTAGAAGGAAACATCTTGAAGCAAGCCAGAGTCAGAACCAGAGCCAAAGCATTGTTAGAGGTAAAGTCTCGTTGGCTCACGTGATTCAGCAAGCTGATGGATGCACACTTCAAAACGGATGGTCTAAACGCAAAGCCGTGTCTATCGCAGAGAAGCTGGAACAAGAGAATCTGTAAGAATAATAATCTCAAAACACTTGATCAAACATTCCCAAGATAGATGAATTTGTGAAAAAATGGTATCTTATTTTCTTTTTGCTTACAGGAGGCTTGAACCAAGATCAAGAAGCTTGTTATGCTGGAAATCCTCAAGAGGCACACGTCGCAAGGTAACAACAAAACCCTCTTTCATCTTATGTAAAAAAAAAAAAATCAAAACTTTAAACTTTGTTACTGTATATGAGTAATTGAAAAAAAAATAAATGAAAACTTTAAAACTGTAGGTCACGAGGTTGAAGGTGAGAAGAAGAAGGGCACGACCACATTCCTTACTGAAGCTCGTTTCCTGCGGGAAATGTCTATCCACGACATCTCCAACAAGATAAGATAGTGTTTTTTTGTTGTTCTTTGATCGAATCATAGTGTGAAATTTTACTGTAGTCATAATCAAATTTAGCTTCTTTTGCAATTGTAATCTTTCTGGATTCTGTTCTTACCACACCAAAATAAATTTGATTAGTTGTCAAAGTCATTCTCTTTTTGATCTAAAATGAAACAAAAAAAAGCAGAGACTAGAGAGATGGAAGCAAGTACTGTAGTAAGATTTTCATCCTTCATAAAATCTGCACCACTTGTGAGAAAGATGACATGTTTCCTTCTCCCTTGTGAGTTGCGATGCGGGACATTAAGTCATCAAGCTCAGATGCAAAAGCTTTCTCGATTTCCTCACTTGCCTTCCTCGCAAGTAACTTCCTATGCTCCGGATAGACTGAAAGCCTTTCCTCCTCGTTATCGCAATTCTTCAAGCCATCGATGAGTGGCTTAACATGCAAGTCATGATACTCCTTCCTCCACCTCAAAACGCGTTCTATAATCTTCTCGAAAAGCTCAGGCTGGCCTCTCACGAAACCATCGCTTGTCAATTCCAATATTCCTCCCCACTCATTTTTAGTAAAGCCATGTGGTGTTGCAGGCGTTCAAAAATTATATATAGCAAACATCAAAAATTCAGTTGCATACTTGGCCACAAGCATATAAAAAGAGAAAAAAACACTTCCATGTGAATGTGAAGGTGACAATCTCACTATCAACCGACTAATCAATGGCAACGGCGTCTATATCAATTCTATAACTTTGTAGAAGACACTTACGTAGGTCACAAAGGTGTCGAAGTTGGGGATTCCTAATATATTATCCAATCCACTCTCTTTCAGTTCTCTTTCGTATCTCCAAAGCCTTAAGACGTTCCACTCGATCCTCCACCTCTTTGGAAAGAAGTCCTCCCTCCCTTGTCTTCCTTTCCTCGGCTATGCGTTTCAAGAGATCCTCCCTTTCGTTCGCCAAAATCTTACCCATTTTCTCCTTACACTGTCTTTCACATCTCTCCCCATACTCTTTGAGGACTAACTGCTTTTCCCGACTGTTCTTGCAGTTTCTAAGCAGATCTTCTCCTCTCTTGGTATACGCATCATTGTATGCCTTCAAGCGAGCCATGTAGCGTTCACCGATCTGCACCAAACGTTCAGGTTCGCCTCTCACGAAATCATCCCTTGTAAATTCCAACCGTGGTCCGGTCCCGATTTTGGTAAAGCCCTACGGAAGTCCAACAAAACATATGATCCCAAAGTTCTCTAATCGAATGAATATCACTAAAACACAAAACTTACAAATCTTTCAAATCTTGCAAAGTTGTTGATCCCTAAGAGCATCTCCAATGGAGGACTTTTAAAATCATTTTTCATCCAAAAAAATTATAAAATAATGAAAAGTATGAGAGAGAATGAAAAACACCTCTTATTTAACAAGTTTGGGAAGCGACTCTCCTATTTTAAAGAGCCTCGTCTAATATATTACACTTTCTAATTGGTGTAAATTTTTTTTGATTAAAAAATTAATATATATACTTTTTAGAGACTCTTGAGGTATCTATGCGTTGGAGATGGTCTAAGAGTCAAGGAAAAATATATCTGTAAGAGCATGTGCAATGGAAAAAACACTAATGGGATTCTTAGTTAATATTTAATTATAATTTTCTTGTTAAGAAATTTGTTAAGATAATTTTATTTTCTATGCTCCAATGGTAGAATCTTATTTAGAGGTTCTTCAAAAAAGTTTTTTTTTAATTGTAAATAGAGTTTATATTTTAAATAAAACATAAAATATATTACATTGATTGAAATTTGAAACATACTTGACATAAAAATATTTTAAACATAAATTTTGAAATAATAAACAGAAAAATGCTCAGTTGTTATCTTGACCACGTCCTAATTTTTGTCATATATACTCAACCAAATCAGTTTTCAATTGTTGATGCATTTGTCTATCATGAAGTTTAGTTCGAACATCCAACATATTGGCGAGATTTGTAGGCATATATGTAGAATACGTGAGATCCACATGTGAGCTTCTGTTTCCTTCTCCTTGGAAGCCTGAGATATCAAATTGAGTGTATCCATCTCGTTCGTCTTCTACTATCATATTGTGGAGTATGATACATGCTCTCATGATCTTTCTTATTTTTTCTTTATCCCAAAAAAGAGCTGGATTTCTAACAATGGCAAATCGAGCTTGCAAGACTCTAAAAGCGCTCGACATCTTTTTGGGTAGCTTCTTGATGTTGAGCAAATAAAGATGATTTCGTGCCTTGTGGAATTGGAATAGATTGGATAAAAGTTACCCATTTCGTATAAATACCATCAATAAGATAGTAAGCCAAATGATACTCCCTTCCGTTGACCGAGAAATTCACTTGCGGAGCTTGACCTTTTATTATATCATCAAAAACGGGTGAGCGATCAAGAACATTGATATCGTTTGAGGTACCTGGAGCTCCAAAAAACGCGTGCCATATCCAAAGATCATATGAAGCTACCGCCTCTAAAACGATTGTGGGTTTTTCAGAACCACGTGAATATTGCCATTTCCAAGCGGTGGGGCAATTTTTCCACTCCCAATGCATACAATCGATGCTTCCTATCATCCCGGGAAATCCGTGTTGCTCTCCAATATCAAGTAGTCGCTGAAGATCCTCTGGTGTGGGTCTTCGTAGGTATTCATCGCCGAACAAAGATATTATTGCTTCGATAAAATTTTCCAAACATGAACGAGCAGTACTTGCACCAAGCCATAGGTACTCGTCAACCGCATCAGCTGCGGTACCATATGCCAAGAGACGAATTGCTGCTGTACACTTTTGAAGTCCAGAGAGACCAGGCCTTCCGAGAGCATCTTTATTTTGTTGAAAGAATCGAACTTCATTGGAGAGTTGATCAACAATATGCACGAACAATGACTTGTTCATTCTGAAACGTCGTCGGAATAAATAAGCAGTGTATGTTGGAGTGTCACTGAAATAATTGTTCCATAAACGCATGTGGCCTTCTTCGCGATCTCTTCCGATAAATGCTCATTTTTTTTACTCCCTTGCCGCATGAGGATCACCATAATCATTGAACATATTCTCGAACTTTTGATCAAATATTTGATCAAAATATTTTTCAAAATTTTCATCAACTAATCCCTCAAAAGGATTACGGGAAGAAGATGCCATATCGGTTTGAAAAAGGGTTTGAGATTTTGATGGAAAAAGTAGATTTAAACAAGAAAGATATTGTGATGAAGAAGCAAATTTCTGGCATGTATATGAGAACGAGAATGAGAAAAGAAAGAAGTTTGATTGCTGAATATTGAGTTTGCAAAAATTATAAATAGAGATAGCAAAGAAACAAAAACCAGAAACTTGTGGTGTCAAATTAAACAAAAAAATTGTGGTTTACATAAAAAAATAGCAAATAAACAAAACCAAAACCGTAATTTGTGACTTCTCTTGTTTGATTATTCTTATATTCTAAATAAGATTCTACCATTAGACCATAAAAAATAAAATTATCTTAACAAAAGTTCTTAACAAGAAAATTATAATTAAATATTAACTAATAATCTCATTAGAGATTTTCCCATTGCTTATGTTTTGCTACGAATTCATATACCTTGTTTCTTGTAGGAGATATCGACTCCACTTTTTCGGCTCACATCTAAAAGTAACAAAAAAAAAACAAAGAGGAAGCAGGACTCGGATCAAAGCTTTAAACCCTAAGTTTTTCTTAAAAGCCTCTGAAATTTTTACAAAACCAAAAAAACATAAAGCGATAACATAAATTCGACATCATTGACACAGAAGAACAAAAACCAGTCAAAGAAATCGGGAAAATTACCTTTGCCAAATACTGAAATCGAAATCAGATCTAGGGTTTTAGCAGCTTTCAGTCGCCTCTTTGTCAAAACGGAGGACACTCTTTATTTATATTTTTGGTCCATAACGTTTTTATCGTTCCTAATTTTATAATCGCATTCCCGGATTTTTATTTTAGACATGGGCCCAAGTTCCCCCAGTTTTGAAAATTGATTTATGAGAACTTGGTTTTGTGCGCTATCTTTTAAACCCAATAGTTGTAGCACAAGTTTCATATTTAATGGGTTCATGCAGGTACGTAGATATTATTAATTCCATGAAAATTGTTATATTATCATTTCATGCGGGCATATATATATATATATATATATATATATATATATATATATATATATTTCTATATATTGCCGTAGATATTATATGACCCATATCGAATAGTACGGACGTATCAGATACCAAATTATTAGAGAATGGGTTAGAGTTAGACTAGTTTGTACTTCAGAAAACGTAGGATGAATCGGTTTAAGTCTAAACCTTGTTAGTTAGTTCACTGGTTGTCTGGTTATATATAAGAGGATGGTTGAATCAGACTTCTCTACCATATTGGTGGTATTGTCTAAATCAAAGTGTCGCTGGCTCACGTGATTCAGCAATCTTATGGATGCACACTCCAAAACGGATGATCTAAACGCAGAGAAGCTGTAAAAGTAATCATAAAACACTTGATCAAACATTCCCAAGTTTGATCAATTTGTGAAAATGTTATCTTAATTTTTTGTTTGCTTTTTGCTTACAGGAGGCTTGAACCAAGATCAAGAAGCTTGTTATGCTGGAAATTCTCAAGAGCCACTCGTCGCAATGTAACAACCAAACCCTCTTTTATCTTGTGTGTAAAAATCAAAACTTTAAACTTTGTTATATGGGTAACTGAAAAAAAAAATGGAAACTTTGAAACTGTAGGTCACGAGGTTGAAGGTGAGAAGAAGAAGGGCACGACCACATTCCTTACTGAAGCTCGTTTCCTGCGGGAAATGTCTATCCACGACATCTCCAACAAGATAATACAGATACTGTAGTCATAATCAATTCAAGTGTAGCTTCTTTTGCAATCGTAATGTTTCTGGATTCTGTTGTTACCACAAAATTAAAATTGATTACTTGTCAAAGTCATTCGCTTTTTGATCTAACTGAAACGGGGAAGAAAACAAAAAAAAAAGTAGAGACCTTTCTTTATAAGCTGAGAGTATGAAATGGGGACAATCAAACACAAACCTTTCTCATAAACTCGACCGGATCCAGATGATGAAAGTCATTCATAATCAATCAATGTAGCTTCTTTACACGCAAGAGCACATTGAGAAGAGATTTATTGATGCAGAGTAGAGATCAAACTGTCAAACACTGAGAGAAATTCAAACCTACAATGATCCCATTTTTCGAAGTTATTATTAAAACAGAGACGCAAGTTTCACTTTCATCAAGGTAGTGAAGGTTGAGGTGGATCTTGACTAGTCTTTCTCTTCTTCTTGAGTGGATCTTCAGCATCTTGTCCCACTTCCCTTGTCTCCCTCTCGCGCGCTATGGCTGCCATTAAACCATCAATCTCAGCTGCAAAATCCTTATCGATCTGCTCCTTTCTCTTCCTTTCGAGTTCCTCCATATGCTCCCTAAAGCGCAAATCCTTCTCCTCCTGGTTCTCGCAGCTCTTCAGTCGATCGAGCACTGGCTGAACATGCACGTCACGAAACGCCTTCTTCCTCTCCACGTGTCGCTCCAAGATCTTCTCCAAGAGCTCAGGCTCGCCTCTCACGAAATTAGGGCTTTTGAATTCCGATATTCCTCCTCCCGACTCCTTTTTAGTAAACCCCTGTGTTGTTTGTTTGCATTTCAACAAACATCTATCACACAATATTATTCAAAAATGCATACTTTGGCCACAGAATCATCAGTAACACTTACAAAGATCTGAAATTTGTACAAGGTGCGGGTTCCCAAGACTCTGCAAAACTCTGCAGGGTGCCAAACGATGAAGCTCTTGCCGTCTTGGCTCCACGTGGTTACTGAATCCTTTGAAGGATCATCCACCGTCGCATATGCTTTGTTGAGAAACTCAGTGTTGGATAAACGATCCATTGTTATTATTATCTATGATGACTTCGGATTTAAACACAAAAAAACAAAAAGAGAAAATCAAGATTCAGATAAGGTAAGTCCCAGATAGAATCATCTTCTCCAAAATCTCAAATATCAAAAACGGATAAAACAATTTACCTTTTGCGAAATTGGGGATTAGGTTAACGGAGATCACGGTTTCTTCATGGGAACACAATTTCATATAACATTAAAATAATTTAGTTTATGTTTTTGGGTTTATAACTTTACCAAGCGGGCCCGGTAAGAGCCCAAATATAATTACAATTGTGGGTCACAAAACTCAAGATAACCCAAAGAGCCCATATCTCAAAGAAGATTTCATAAACTTGTGTGGGAAATGTACATGGTAGAGCTCTGATGCTTATGTTGTTTGGTAAATGGTAAATTCATAAGCAGTTTTAAGCTCTAATATGGAACTCTCTTTACCACCACATATATGGATTTGTGTGTGTTATTAAATTATTTAAGCCATTCCTAAGAGCTAATTGAAATAAGAAGACATTCGGGAAAGAAAGAAAAGAAAAAAAGAAATCACATTGTGAGTGAAGAGATAAAACGAGGATAGATCAAACATTAAAGAGTTTCAGACTCACAAATACATAATTCTTAAACAAACATGACGACTTGTGCAAGCCAATAGTACATTATAGATAAACTCATAACAACAATGTGTTATATTTGATCATCATCAATATTATACTCCATAAACCTCAGCAGGATTGGCTTTATCGTCGATGGCATTTAGATGACGGACAAGCTGTTGGAGATTCTGGATATTGGTCTCCTGCATATATATACCAAAAAAAAAAAATCAAGTAACTCAAACGTAAATTAATTAAGGTTAAGAAATTAAAAAATCAAAAGTTACTACTCACCCTTTCGATATAGGCACGAATGTTGGGAATGGTATTATCTCTAAAAGCAGTTAGGCTTTGAACTGCGTCGTTTCTTTCAGCGTTCAATAGAGCAGTCCCTTCCTCATTCATCTCTCCAAAATTCTGTGGACTGGTGAGTGCAGCTTGTATTCTTCCAATGAGGTGGAAAGCATGTTGAAGTTCAGGGATGTCATCCTCCTGAATATTAGTCAAGTTAATTAATTAATCTTTTAACTAAAAATAAAAAAAAAAGTTATCTACACAATAAAATTATACCTGATCAATATAGTCTTGAAGAGCTTCAATTGTATTATCGGTGAAATCATCTAAAACCCCCCTTGCAGCAACTTTGGCTTCATTAAGTAGATGATCATCAGCCATTTTTTCCCTGAAAAATTCAGGAAGCAAGTGAGACAGTTTTTCAACCAACCAAATAAACATACTTTCTGAAAGCTTAAAAAAAAAAAAACTAAAGAGAAAACTTGGAGAAGATGACCTTTTTGTTATTATCTTTATTTAACAATACCAGATACAAGGCTTTTGCTATTTAAAGGAAATACATTTAACCTAAAGTTGAATTGGTGTCCTCAAGAGCTCACAAGGGTTTTGTGAGCTTGCATGTTCATATAATGGCCATGCTTTTTCAACGTTGCACTGGTTTATCTGCTTTTGCATGAGTGATGACGATGAGAATTTCATTTTCTGTTTTCTCAGGCCCACTTTCGATTTTGTTGTTATGGTCGATTCCTGTTTTGCTAGACTATGAACTACAACGTTATTTGCTTTTTGGTGTACCTAAAATTACAACATGTGAATCTCGATTGCCAAATTCCATATATCAATGCATACATTATCGACATCAATGTTGTGATTTTTCCGTTGTAAGATATCTATCAGACTCTTACAATCTCCTTCGAAACATGTAGTAGGACTGAATTTTGGTGTTGCACTTACTAGAATCGCCTCAATGGGTGTTGATGAAGTGCAGATGATTTGGTTGACCATCATCGTTTGATGAGTTTCAATTTTCAAACCAAGACATTGAGAAAACGCAGTGATTTTATTAAACTTTCTTATCTTGCTTGTGAAAGATTTTTTGCAAATATTTGTCGAATATTTCTTCTTCTTTTTTTTTACCAAATTATATAATATATAAAAGTTGATGGTATAGTGCATTGAAGGCGTCCAAATAAGATTAAAAAAACTCGATCTGATTGGTATACATCAACATATTCATTAAATAAAAAAATATTAAGTATGATTAGGACGGAAAAACTTAATTTAATTGGTCCACATCAGCTTTTAAATCAAACCAAAAATAATTAAGTATAATTAAAACATTAAAGTTAATTTAACAAATTATGTCCAACAAAAAAAACTAAATTCAATTTGATTGATCCAAATCAACATATTTATTAAATCAGAAAATGTTAATATTGTTTCAAAATTTAAAAGTTAAATAAAAAAATTAACAATTAACAATACATGTATAAAAAAAAGTAACCATAATCAATTATCAATTTAAAAAAATCTACAACAACTCGATTTAACAATTAAAATAATAAAAACTGAATAAAAATATAACATAGAATTCTTGGAAAATATGATGTAGAAGGAAAAAATGCTTTTGCATGATCATTATAGCTTCATAACAAGATTAAATACGAATCAACATGAATCATGGATTATATATACAGTGGTACACTACATCATATAATATATAAAAGTTGGTGGCATAGTGCATTGAGGGCGTCCATATGGGATTAAAAAACTCGATCTGATTGGTCCACATCAGCATATTCATTAAATAAAAGAATGTTAAGTATGATTATGACGAAAAAACTTGATTTAATTGGTCCACATCAGCTTTTAAATCAAACCAAAAATTATTAAGTATAATTAAAACATTAAAGTTAATTTAACAAATTATGTCCAACAAAAAAATAAATTCAATCTGATTGATCCAAATCAACATATTTATTAAATCAGAAAATATTAATATTGTTTCAAAATATAAAAGTTAAATAAAAAAATTACAATTAACAATACATGTATAAAAAAAAGTAACCATTATCAATTATCAATTTAAAAAAATCTACAACAACTCGATTTAACAATTAAAATAATGAAAACTGAATAAAAATATAACATAAAACTCTTGGAAAACATGATGTAGAAGGAAAAAATACTTTTGCATTATCATTATAACTTCATAACAAAATTAAATGTGAATTTGCATGAATCATGAATTATATATACAGTGGTACACAACATCAATAAGACTTTCAATAAAAAACTAAATATTTGAACATATAAACCTTCAAAAAAAAAACTATAGAAATTCTATGGAAAACAGAAATACCAAAATCTTAGCAAGATTATATTTCTCTAAATCAAATGTATATGTATGTCAAAGTTGGATAATTCGATAGGTGTCATTGTTATTATTTTACCTAATAGTTTTTTAAAATTTGTAAATAAAAATAGGATAAATTACATATTATATATTAAATTCTCTTATATAAATGAATTTTTTTTATAAATATATATTATTTAAATAATTTTAAAGATAATAGCTAAAAAAATAAACCAAAATATTAATATTACCTAGTATTTTCCGGTAATCCCAAGCACGCATTTTCCTCCTCCACCATGATTTCCATGCAATGTCCATGATATTCTTTAAACGAGTTTGAAGGTTGCCTCGTATTCTTGAGCCAAAAATAATCATAGATTTCGTCGTATTTATCAGTTGTGTCGAGCATTGTTCATACAAAACATATCTAGTCCAATATAATGGGATTTTTTTATATGAAAAATTCAATGGATGCATAAGGCCTAGGATGCTTGCTAAAATTTAATCAATTAGAGTTTCACTGGTATCCAATGAAATAATAATATCAATAGTTTTGGATTTCAATATTTATAACTTCTAAACTAAATCTGCTTAAAAAGGTCTTTTTACATATAAATACGTGCAGTTTTAAAAATATTTGTAGAACAGTGTATTTTTGAAATTTCAAATCTCAAGTAAGTTACTTTGCCAAGTATCCTTAATTCCTTATTATATAAAAGGAGTCCTTTTAAAAAAAAACGACAGGAAACACTAGTCTTCTAAAAAAAAGATATTAGAAAAGTAATATTCTTAAATTTAACGAAAAAGATAGTTAAATTTATAAACAACCAAAAAAAAAAAAAATAGAGAAGGCAAAACCGTTTGCAAATTTTAAACACAAATACGAAAGAAAAATAAACCTTATACAATTTTCTTTGGTCTGAGTAAAAAGAGATATAACATCTGGTTATATTGGTTATAAGACTTGGTTATCTTTGGTTTACATTTCGACTAGTATCGTTCTATTTTAAGCTATTGAATGAATCAGATTGCAAATGCTGATTGTACTATGTAGTTGGAGACTGGCTTCAAGGCCCTTGTGGATTCGGAAAAGGTGATATCGGGAAGCTGTTCATTGCCGGTTTTGGATGATTAACAGTGAGAGAACATTTCTCTTTAACTCTCTCAAAGATCATCTCAAATATCTTGCTATACATACCATTGTTGGATGATTAACAGTGACAACATTTCTCTTTTAACTCCCTCAATGATCATCTCAAAATTTTCTTGCCACATACGGCTCACTCTAATCCTTCCTCTCTTATCTGGTTTCTCAGAGAATATTACGAGTTTTCTTCCAACACTAGAAGCCTAAAATGCGCTTCCAAGTCACTGAGAGAAGATACAGTAAGAGATGTGTGTTTCGTGAATCCTGCAAAGCTGTTGGAAACCGAGAAATGAAGATTTCAGTGGCGCAATCACCAAACTTTGGGGACAAACTGTTGACAAGAGCTGCTTCATGGGACTAGTCTTGCTGCATCTGCATCGATCTCATCGGCTAATCTTCTCCAGAACGTACGTTTATATCAGTAAGATAAAGGCATTTTTGTCGCCATGCACAATACAAGTATCAGGTTAAGAAACACCCTTTCATGAGACACACAAACTTGATGGTTCTGGGCACAATCGCAAAAGATATATATATATATATATATATATATATATATATATATATATATATATATATATATGACATAATCCACGAAAAGGGTTTTAATTTCCGCCATTAGCAAAAGGCATTATTACACATTAAGATGTTTGGGGATTAAACATTAAACATAAAAGATTAAAAAGCTAGTCTATAACCTCAGATTCATCACTACTCTGTCCTCCAACAGCAGGATTAGGAAGAGCATTATCCATAGCCAAGATCTCTTGAGCTGATTCCTCACAAAACTCCATACAGGCAATGATGTGGATGAGAGGCCCAATATTGTTGGCCCTCCCTGCAAAGGCAAAGAGATGCTCAATGCTGATGCTCATGTTGATTAGCAAATCCCTCGCTTGAGCCTTCAATGCATTCCTCTGATCAATGGGATCCATCTTCATAAGAAAAAAAAAGCATATTCGGAATTAAAAAAAAATCAAAAAGAAAGGAAAAGGACGAAGAAATGAACGTGATCGTCGTAGTTTGTACCTTTCCAAAATCGGAACCTTCCTTTGAGATTGATGAGCAAAATCGGATGTTTACGATGACGACATCGGCGTTGACGCTATTCATTTCCTTTTTTAACCCTCGAAAAATCGTCGAGAACATTTGGGGCCCATATCGCATTTTGCTAAAAACATGGGGCCTCTAAGTTACAATTTTTGTTTTTTTAATTAGACGTATTTATGGAAATGTCGGTTTTTTTTTATGTTCAGTTTGAAATTATTTTCGGTTTCATTATCAATTGCACGGTTTGCAGTCGATAATGATAATGAAAGCAAACCGTGCTACAGTAATTATTTTCGGTTCACAGCTGATAATGATAATGTGTCCGGTTAACGATTGATAATGAAAAAGCTAACAATTATTTTCGGTTTCATTATCAATTACACAGTTTGACCAAAACAATCGCAAGGGGTTGTAAGGTTCTGAACTTCTGATGAAGGGGTTGGGTCCGGTTAGCTTTGAAATTGGAGCTAGAGAAAATGCTACGAGAGTGAAGAGAGGAGAATCTGACTATCAAAATGTGAATGTGGTTTCTCTTCTCCAAGTTGGAGGATCAATTATGCTATTGTTAAGACACTATCTGATTCTACAGTAGATGATGGCCAAGGAGAGAGCGAAGCCGGTTCATCTGCGTTAGCCGGAAGATTTGTAAAGCAAGCCAGAGTCAGAACGAGAGCCAAAGCATAGCAGCTTTTATGGAAACTCTTGTTACCAAAACACAAATCCATCTGTGTGTTTATTAACTGTCTAAGCCATTGCTAACATATCAAGAGTGTGACTGAGAGATACAAATTCCAACAAGCTCACAGACACATCAAACAGGATAATGAAACCAAACCCGATTTCAGAACAAAGCCTTAAGACGCTCCACTCGATCCTCCACATCTTGGGACAAAACTCCTCCTTCCCTTGTCTCCCTTTCCTTGGCTATGCGCTTCAAGAGTTTATCCATGGCTTCTGCGAAATATTTATCCATACTCTCCCCTCTCTCTCTTTCATATCTCTCCCTTCTCTCCTTGTAGACTAACCGCCTTTCCCGCCTGTTCTTGCAGTTTCCAAGCAGATCTTCTCTTCTCTTGTTATACACATCCCTGCACGCCTTCAAGCCAGCCACGTAGCGTTCCCCGATCTGCACCAAACGTTCTGGTTCGCCTCTCACGAAACCTTCCCTTGTAAACTCCAACTGTGGTCCGGTCTCGATTTTGGTAAAGTCCTGCGGAAACATATAACCAAACATTTGATGATCGCAAAGATGAATATACTTTTGAGCTACAAAAGCAAAAAAACTTACAAATCTTGCAAATCTTGCAAAGTCGGTGATCCCCAAGAGTCGAGGGAAAAGGTCTCTGCAACATTCTGCAGGATTCCAAACTATGAAACTGTTGCCGTTTGGTCCCCAAGAGATGATTGAATCCGTCGAAGGATCGTCCACCATTGCGTATGTTTTGCTCAAGAAATCATATACCTTGTTTCTTGTTGGAGATAGAGCATCGACTCCAGTTTTTCGATCCATGTCTACAATAGAGGAAGCAAGCAGGAGGACTCAGATAATTTTACGAAATCATATACAAATCTGTGCAACAACAAATCCGGATTTTGATCTGGGGTTCGACAAAATCAAAATCTAGGCTTCTATAACCAGAATATTCGACATCTTTGACACAGAAAGAACAAAATCAGTTAAAGAAATTGGGAAATTACCCTTGCCAAATGCCGAAATCGAAATCAGATTTAGGGTTTAGCAGCTTTTAGTCGTTTTTCCTACTTCTTTGGGGTCAAAAACGGATGACACAGTTTACAGATGGCAGCAACTTCATCCCGTTCCTAAATTGCCGGACATCTACAAAGTTTGGGCCATAACGTTTTTTTATATCCAATCGGCCCAAGTTCCTTCCAATCGCATCTTTTAAACCGAACATTTGTTGTCTAATATTTCTGCAAACCGGCATAGACACGTGCGTAAAATCTACTCTAGAGCAGGTGGGGTTAAAAATCTATTTTTTTGGTCTGTATGTTGTAATTTGTAAATTTTCAATTTATATTCTCTTGATTTTTCAGTCATTTCTACAAATACATTCAGGGGTGTATTAAAACTGACATTTTCGAAAATTTAAAAAGATTTGAGTTTTCATGAATTTTTAGATAATTTTATGTAGAATAGAAAAATTGATATAATTAAAATTATATGAAATCCCATCTAAAACAAATAGAATTTGTTTTTTTTTTATATTTTAACTAACAAACTCCACCAAATTATTTAAAAGTACTTAGTATTTTTCCAATAACAATGGATTTGATATAGTTTTACAAATTCTTGATTAAATAATAATAAAAATTTAAATGATTTTAATTGGTTTTATATAAATTCCATGTTTAATAACATAGATTTTAGTAAGATATTTAGAACATAGAATTTTAAAATAATCATAAATTTTTCTAAAATTTCAGTTTCAATTCAATATTTTTTCTTCTTAAGAATATATTCCCTTGGCATTACTTTGATCCATCGTCCATTCATAAGTCTCCCTCCTCCCTCGTCTTGCAACTATTTCAATCGATCTAGTCAATTTATGCATTCGCCATGTAAAAGCTCACGTTGGTCTCTCACGAAATCATCCCTTTGTAAATTCCAATTTTTTGTTGGACACAATATTCTTTTAAATTAACCCTTCTTCAAAAAAAAAAGTTCTTTTAAATCCCTGCGTTGCGTTCAATTAAATTATACCAGCAGCAATTGCCAAAAAAAAGAAAAAAAAAATTATACCAGCAGCATTAGTAAACAAAAATATACCAACATATGTGGAAACATACTTGACATGAAAAACATTTGAGTCAAGTATTGGTCAAAAAAGATTTATAAACATTTGAGTCAACTAAAACAGTCAAAAGTTAGACTCAATAGTCACCAAGATAACAAAATGTTTGTAGAAAACCAGCAAAAAGAAAAAAATTGGGAAAATTATATTTTATCAAAATGGTTTTTTTGTTTTGTTTTTGACAACTATCAAAATAGTTAATATATCATTTATATCATTAAATGTTATATACAGCATGGTTATTAATATAAAAAAAAATTGGGTTGTATGGTCTTTAGTATTAGCTAGTTTATGTTTCATGACTTAATTAGTAGTAGCATATTCAAATATTCATCGGTTTAAAAGAGCTTACACGGGTCAATGATCCTTAATTATTCTTAAATATGTAGAGTTTGCAAACTTGTTTCACATCTACTCAAAAACAATTAATGTTTTAAATAATTATCAGATATTTTAATTTCAATATATTATAAAATGAAATAGTAAAATATTTTAATAAATTCTCAAACATTATAACTTTACAATTAAAAATAAAAATTTATAGCCATAAAAATATGATGTCAAATTCAAATCATAATTGTTTTCCTCTAACAAATTTTGAGCTGCGTAGAAGAAATAAAGTAAAATCCTTCAATCAAAATAATACTAGTTTCCATGAAAGATTAGAAGCATGCCAAACAAATTAAACAGTGGAGACACAACAGTTAGCAACATAAGCAGTATGTTAATGGTGCTGGTATATTCTTATTTATGTATAAGTTGAAGTAATTGGTGTGTATATGATTGATTATGTAAAATTTAATTTTCTTACCAACTCTTGAAAATTTATCTTTGCTGGTATATTGGTCTTTTCTACAAATTCACAGTGCAAAGATGGTTTTTTATACGCATTGATCAATTCGTAACTCATATTATTTAAAAATATCATTAACAACTCAGCTGTTTGAAATGTGAAATAGTAAAAGAACGTGTATTATTATCATTAGTACATATTAAAGAGCGTATTGGCACAGCATACGAACTGGATAATCAGCTTAATCTAGGGATTTGATGAATCTCTAGAGAACTGCTTCGCTTAATCAAGGGATTCGAAGAATCGCTTGAGACCGGCTTCTTGTTTTGATGAATTTAATCGAATAAAGAACAAGGTATACGAGAAATCTCTCTGTTTATTAATTATCAAAAGCTGTCTTACAAAATAGCTTTATAGCTTCATATATAATAAAAGCTATAACGAAAACCCTAACTTATCGAAGAAGTCAAAATCAACTTAAAAGATTAAAGCCCAAAATAAAAAGAAAGCCTAGTGAACGATAAATATAACTAAAGCAAGTTTTAAAGGAAACATGTAAATGACGGAAGATGCGCTGCATCAGGTCCCTCCGGGTTTGAAAGATTCGACGTCGAATCAGAATGATACTCTCTTCTCTAGAACCTGTAGTAGAAGCCTCCTCTTTGTTTTCTTGTCTTGCTCTTTCAAACTATCCACACTTGTAGTCTTCTCTTTAAACTCCCATGCTTAGTGTGTTTTGCTTGATTACACAGAAAATCATCTTTTTCCAAATAATCCATGTGGTATATCTTGTAGAGACTCCAAAGACTCATCGTAAAGTCCACATCGTCTAGCACATTAACTGCAAATAATTGATGGTTGCGATGTTCCAAAAACACTGCCTTGCCACTTTTCCTTGAACACAGTGACATGTATCCATGGAAAGACAATATGTTTATAACCAAAACAACACACATGGATTTGCTTGATTCGCAAGTAACATTGCTTCAATAAATTAATGTCGTGGATGTGTACTTGGAATCCATCCTCAACGTAAAACCTCCACAATGCAACACAATTGGACAAAAAAAGGTGCGGAAGATCAATACCAATATGGTTGGTGACGTTCGAAGATGAACCATAGAGACTCCAATTGAAAGAGTTGTTTCCCCTTTTTCATCGAAGGGAAAAGACATGAAGTCACCATAAGGAACCAAAACAAGAAACACCCCTATCATATTGGCACGTATCAGACATGGAAGATGGTAAGCACAAATACAAACACGTTCCAACACTGCTCCATAATCAACTGAACGCAAACTCTGCGGTCCAATTTTTGGAAAACACAGCCTTGGCTCCAAAATCAACTCGCATGGCTCCAAAACAGTTAAACAACACCAAAAAACAACCAATAAAGGCCTTGGCTGGACACAAATACATCCCTTTTTGAAGATATACAATGCTGATTCTTCACTTAAAAATACCATGATGAGAAGGGACCAACAATATCAAATGACTGCTGTAACGTTGTAAGAGAATCCCAACGGTGAGATATGTACATCACTCTTTCTCCATGGATGAATCCACTCTGTAGCCCGCGAGTGCAAAATGTAACGCCAAACGGTTATGTCATTTGCAATAAACCATGTATAAAGATGCGTCTCGTGCCGGCTGATTACCGCGTAAACCATGTATGTCGCTTGAGACATATGATGTGGAGAGAAGGTGGCAAAATCATGAGAACTTCAGACTACCTTAATCTTCAAGTCAAAAACCTCCAATAACAGGGAAGAATGAGAATCCATAACTTTGTAATTCAAATCCCACTCAACGCCAATCATGTATCTCGCTATGTTCTCAAATATATTTTTGCAAGTGCACAAATCAAGGAATTGGCAGTGTCTGGACCGAAGAATATTTAGTATAACACCAAAAACAAGTTCACCGTTCATTGATCTTGGTATAATTTGCATAAGAGAATGAAGAAAATTACGAGCTTGGTGGAAATGCCTACAAAGCTGAATCAGATCTCTTGTTGCCAACACCGTAAGCTTTTCATACCATGTGTCTTGAAAAGCAAGAACTTATTTCACTAATATCCATGTGAGTATAGAGAATCTGGTGCGGGATGGAAGTCGAAAAACAGAGGTGCTGCAATTGACATGAAAAGCAGAGCTGTCGTAAAACAAGAGCTCGTTTGATACACAAATAATTGCACGCCTATGGAGATATGAATTGGATGGGTCTTGGGAATCCCATATTCAAAAAAGGTGATGACGATTGAAGAGATCAACGAATTGGTGGTGATAAGCATGCAGAGGATGAAACCATTCCCTTCTTCTTCTTGATCGTGTGCAAACAAGAGTGTTGTTCACAATGTCCCATGCGAAAACGGGTAAAGAGGTTGATGATGGTGGTTGAAAAACTGAACCGTTAAAAACACTGGGAAAAATAGAGCAAGAGCATAACAACACCAGATTGTTTGAATCAGAAACAATGACCATTGGCACTGGTGGTGGCGGTAACTCTAGCGGCAACACTAACATGATTCTTTTATAATTAAAAGGAATAAAACCAAGAACAGTCTTCTTCCTTTTCTTATCACTATCCGTACCATAATCTGTGTTAACATCTTCCTCCATATCCGCCTCAGCGCATGCCTTCAAATCCTCTAATACAACTCCTGTTTCGTAGTGTTCAACACACTTACCTCGAACAAACACAGTTTGTAAACTAGATGTATCTCCCTGATAACCAAGACCAGTCATTGTATTGTAGGTTCTGCCCATGCTTAAAATATTGTCTAAAGTTGCAGAGCCCTTGTTTAGCATACAGATCTTCTTATGTGTTGCATTCAATCCACACTCCAAAAACCTGTTTTTCGCTTGCTCTAAACCAAGTGCCTCTTGTAGTTTAATTATTTTACCTTCTAATATACGTTTCTCGGTAAGTAACATCACACTCAAATAATCCCCATGGTGCTGCTCCAACTGCAGAATACAATCCTTAGATTCCAACAACTTTGTATCCTCGTGAGCACAATCTGAGCCATAACTTGGTGGAACAAAATTTTGGTGATTTACAATAGAATCGATAGAGTCATGTTCTTTGTTTTGATCACGATCCGGTGGCGTGCGATTGAGTTGTCGATGACAATCCTTTCTCCATAAACCAAAATTCATATGTGGCTGCTTTAAGTCCATATATGTATCATTGTCTCGCTTGTGGATGCCATGAAAGATTCGAACTTGTTCTGCTGATCCAAATCGCATGCCTTCGATGAGATTTTGCTTTTCTTT